GAATAATGATGAAATATGAGTAAAAATAAGCACTGCTCTTCCATCCATTAATTACGTTTTCATCTAAATCATATATAAATAATAACAAAAAAAATCACATAGCACATTAAAGTTATATCCCACAAGACACAAAATTAATTACTTGATATGTTCATGACATTAAGTTGTGCGTGATCTGCAACGAATGAATAAAACAAACATTAGCAAATAAGATTTATGATTTAGTTAATATTAGCTCTCCTCTCCCCCCTCCCCCCCTTACCTTCCCTTATTAGTTAACCTAACCTTGCCCTCTGCTTACCTTATTTATCAAATAAACATTCTTTCTGCCTTTACCATCCCCCCCCCCCACCCCCTTGCCCTCTGCCCCCAACACCTAAAGTTAAGGGCAAATGAGTTTATAAGGATTGTTAAGATATTAATTTATAAAGATTAAGATATTAATTTATAAAGATTAAGATATCAATTTATAAAGATTAAGATATTAATTTATAAAGATTGTTAAGATATTAATTTATAAAGATTGTTAAGATATTAATTTATAAAGATTGTTAAGATATTAATTTATAAAGATTGTTAAGATATTGATTTATAAAGATTGTTAAGATATTGATTTATAAAGATTATTAAGATATTAATTTATAAAGATTGTTAAGATATTAATTTATAGAGATTGTTAAGATATTAATTTATATAGATTGTTAAGATATTGATCAAAATTACTTTATACTTTACCGGCCGGGAAGGAGTAAGCTTCAGCCGTGACAGAGAACACCAGCACGGAAGATAACACCAGTAGCCATCTCCAAGACATTTTCAAATGGTTTCGTTTTTCCAAGTGTTTTAACGGTTACACTCTTCAAATGTTTAAACGGTTAAGCTCTTCAAATGTTTTAACGGTTACGCTCTTCAAATGTTTTAACGGTCGAGCATTTCAAATGTTTTAACACTTCCGCTTTCCATTTTTTTTCTATCTCTCTCTCTCTCGATTTTTTCTTCTTTTTTTTTTACCTTTCGGTCGTCAGCGATTACCTCTCGTACAGCATACCAAAACACAGCTCAAGAAGAATGCCATACGTCTCTCACCACTAGGCTTTTTTTTCCGAACTGATACATATATACATATCCTGCGTGAATCGTATATCCAAGACGCAAGAACCGCACAAAAAGAGGGGGGGAGGGGGGGGGAGAAGATCATAACAGGATGTCTGGGGGATCAGTGCAAGTACCCCGAGGAGGGACCTCTTCCTGTGCTGGACCATGGGATTTTGTAGTCTCGCTTTGAGTAAAAAAAAAAAAATCAATAGAATATAAATAATAGAATTGAGTACAAAAAATAAATAAATAAATAATAAATAAATAAAAAGAGAAGCTTAGGAGGTCTTTATTTCCACGGTCGTATTTGTCTATTATTGGATCCATCCCCCTCCTCCTCCTCCGCCTTCTTACTGTAATAAATTGCTTTCTATAATACATGGCGTATAGAAATATAGAATTAGACATTGTAGAAACACTTCGGATAAAACATGGTAACAAAGAGGATTATATATGCGAATTATGCCTCATGAATGTTCATGAAAACCTGGATAACTACTTATTGTTAATGGTTAAAAGCAAGATAAATGTGCTAGACATCTAAGGTCATGTAGCACTAGAGTAAATGTTAGTGAAGGGTGGTTGAGTTAGTGATTAGTTATCAAAGCTGGGCAAAGGAATTGGTGAGTGAATGGGTTAAGGTCGGGTGTGGTAATGTAAAGGAGTTAGATTAGATGAAGGATATGTATGCGTTTGAGGAAAGAGGACAGGTTGTTGAAGCAGAAAGTGTGGGATTCTGTAAGGATGTCTGATAGGTTGGGAGGTCGGTGAAGGGAGGATAGGTAGGAGAAAGCAGAGGTATGGGCTGCTTCAAAACGTGGGTACAATAGGATGTGTGGGATTGAAAGGGGAACATTACATAAGGAACATAGGGGTGGATCGGATTGTGACATCAGATAGGAAACTACTTATTGTTGATAAGTTAGAGCAGCATTTATCATACTGCCACGCACTGCCTTAACGAGCTCGAATAATGTCTTTGAAATTACCCAAAATGCCTCTGAGATGCCCAGATATGCCCGCGAAATGTCCAAACTCAAACTCGGTTATTCAAACTCTGATCGCGACTCGGGTTTGTAATTTACATTTATCTCATGAAACACTGACCTCTTTTTCTGTATAGATTCGTAGTAATAGTAATATCATTACGTTAAAACATTGAAACATTATAAGATATTCTTGTACGATGCCTACACATACACATAATGCCTATTCATACACATATAAATATTCAATGCACATACATACATATTTCATCTTAAAGAACCAGCCTTTTACAAAGAAGTTATTGAGAAAGGTAACAAGATCTGGGACACTTCCTTCACACAGTTTGAGAAATGGTTTAAATATTCTGATCCAAGAGGAGTGATAAGTGAGCATGACTTGTGGCCTGATCTTGAAAGAATTATTCGTATTCAGACTTGCCAACTCCTCTTCCTGGTCTTTTTTTTAGATTTTAGGGTTTCAAATACATGTGGAAATCTTCATCTATATCACTGAAACCTTTTATTAGATAGCAATTCTCCATAAAAAACACATGTAACCTTAATTAAGAACCATTGTTACATTTAAAAGTCTAATATTGAATTAAGTTTATTTTGTGCTGAACTTGTGTCTAAGTTTTATTTCATTTGGGAAAAAAAATATCTGTGCTTACAATGCATATTCTTTACTTTGGTGACAAGCTGAAGTTCTTATATCTTAAATTATTTAGGTTCTGTGAATAATCTATCAAAGACCATGGAAGTATTGATCTACTGAAATGGTCTTTATCTACGTGTTAGATATATGTTTTCTCCAACATAACCAAGCTGGTCTAACAGGAATATAATTTTAAATCCCAAATTCACTCACATGAGGACAGAAAAATCCTTTATATGAGATCTTTGCAATAGTAGAAAAAACACAATGTACAAAATATTTAGCAAAAGAAACCAGACTTCTTTTGATTAACATGTATCAACATATTTTGTTTTGTCATTTGGAACTTTGCAGGTGTGGTTTATAGCAACTTTAGTTATTCCATTAAAACTTGTCAAGTACTGCCATTTGAGGATCATTAATCTCCAGCTGGTAATTTAGAATATTTTTTATCAATTAGAAATCTCTATTAGACAAATATTTGAGGATAAGTTAATTTCTAATAAGAAAACTGGAATAATTATTTGTTTAAAGTTAATAGGAAACATATTTCATTACTAATTTTTCAGAGGTTATTTGGAAGTACTTCTAGTAAACACAATGGACTTTTAGAAAATTGCACTTATATATAAATAAGCACGTGTTTCTAGACCCACATTATTTTTAGAGTTAACTACAGTGAGTTGGGTTTTCATTGGAATACGATGAATTTTTCAATCAGAGTTTTTATCTGTAGCTTTGGTGGGGAGGGGGGGGGGAACAATTAAGTATCCAGCCACAAAAACAGTGTCAACTTTTAGCACACTGGAAACTGAGCTTTGTGTTCTCAGTGCTCAAAATACATTTTCTTACAACACTTCTTTTCAATCTAGTCTCTTTTTCTCCTTGATTCTGAGCTCGTAAATAACCACACAAGAAAAGGCTACTGCAAAGAATTATGGTAGTTTTTTTTGGCAGTCAGTTGGTCAAAAGTGGATCTGTTCAAGTATTATTCATATTCTGGATAATAAATGCACCTATACAAAAATATAATTTATTCTTGCAAGATGTTGGGCTAAAACACCATTAGCCATCTTATCTTAGAGACCTGAAGGTAAAAATTATGAGATTCAACATTTACATGACACAAAAATCCTCATTAAAGGAAGATAAAGGACATGAATAAATACATTTGTACATACTGTCAACAGTGACTCAGCATGAACACATTTAAAGCAAACCAGGCACATGAATTTTCTCTCTTTCCGAGTCATCCTGTTGCTGCCTTTCTATTATAAAAAATTAAGCACTTCACTCCAATTTCTTTGGAATCCGACTAGACTTTCACTCTTTTGGCCCCAACTTTGTAGTCCTCTTCTGTGAGTTCATAGGCCCAGTGGAAGAGAGTCTGGCGCACAACTGGTGAGACTCCAGCGTTGTCATATGAGCAGCCTGATCGGACAATCTGAGAAAATGGAAGGGGAGCTAAGTTATTTCTTGCAAGCATAAAGTAACAGCATTAACAAAATATAACAACACTAAAGTAACAGTATACAGTACACAAAAACTTTATTTTAAGAGTGGTCATCATGTAAAAGAAGAAATGAAAACTCATGCAGAACTTTATGTAGAGCAAACTAAGTACCGTTTGGACCTTAAATCTAATTAGATTGTGAGTTATCAACTCAACAGAACAATTTTAGTCACACAAAAGAAAATCTATTAAATAAATATGAATACAAAATGGAGACGATGACTGCTGTATGGTGATGACATACATTAGGCAGAAGATGAGAATGTCAACATAACATAAGCAAGAAGGGGAAGTAAAAACAACGGGAAAAAACAGGAATATGACAAACATGAAATCACAAGAAGACAATCAAAGACAAAGTAAGACGATGGAAACATGCACAGAAGACAACATGAGAACGGGAGCAAAGGCACAAATGAAGAGACAGACGGACAAAGGGAGGAAGCTACCTTGGTAATGAGGTTGTTGCGCCATCTGCCCTTCACTCCGGCACACTTCTTCCAACGGCTGATCTGTCTCTCGTCGTCCTCCGTGCGGCGTCCTTGGTAGAACCTGGAGAAACGTACAAATGCAATAGTTACTGCTCTGTTCATGTGTGTGTAATGTTCATGGCTGTATGTGTAAGTGAGAAAGATGGGAAAGGTGGGGGAGGAGAAACAGGGAGGGAGAGGGGGGGAGGAAGGAAGGAAGGGAGAGGAAGGGAGAGGAAGGGAGAGAGGGGAGAGGAGAGAGGGAGAGAAGGAGGGCAGGA